ATGGGAGTGTTCGCCGTTTTTGCAGATTCCATCCCATTTTCTTCAAGTAGTCGTTGTATCTTCATGTTTTGATGTAGGAGAAAACTTCCTTCTTCATTTCGTTCAATCTGTATTTCTAAGTAGCATTTAGCGTCTCCTAAGTCTGCAGTTTTAAAATTTGCATTTAATGTCTTAATAATGTTAACAGTATTAATATCTGAATCACTGCAAACTAAAATATCATCTACATGGATTAAAATGTAAGACCACGAATTTTTATCTCTTTTGCAATATAAGCATGGATCTGCTTTGCCTCTTATGTAACCTTGTGATGTTAATAATTCGTTTATTTTGTCATTCCAAGCCCTTGCGGACTGTTTTAATCCATAGATACTTCTTTTTAATTTAAGAACATAATCTTCCTTTCCTTCTTTGATGTATCCTTCAGGTTGTTGCATATAGATCTCGTCTTGAATTTCACCATTTAAAAATGCTGACTTTATGTCCAAATGCTTTATTCTGACTCCTTTAGTTGCTGCTATTGTAAATAATATTCTTATAGTTTCTTGTTTTACTACTGGGGCAAATGTTTCATCGTAATCTGTCCCATATTTCTGTCCGCAGCCTTTAGCAACCAACCTAGCTTTATATTTCGCTCCCTGATGTTCATCATATTTTAATTTGAAAATCCATCTACATCCTAAAGCTTTATGTCCTTTCGGTAATGGAACTAAATCCCAAGTATCATTGTTACGTAATGAACGCATTTCTTCTTCTGCAGCCTTGATCCAACACTGTTTTTCCTCTTGTCGTAACGTAGATATTTCATCCCAATTTTTAGGTTCTGTGTTAGACACACATGCCTTGTATGCATATTTATTTGGTGGTATTCCTTTATTAACCTTGGACGATCTTCTTATCTGTTGAGGTTCTATTTGTTCTTCATCCGTTTCATCCTCTTCAGTTTCTTCAACTGATTCAACTGTATCTTAAATATCTTGATGATTCAATGTTATTTCCTCTTCTTCATTCTTCATATCGAATGAATTTTGAACTTCTTCATTAATAGAATCTCGATAAATGTTGTCAACGTCTTCATTAAATCTTACATCTCCGCTTATATATATCGCGTTTGTGTGAATATCCAAAATTCTATAAGCCTTTGACGTTTCGCTATATCCGACTAGAATTCCAATTTTTGCACATTTATCAAATTTAGTACGCTTTTCTTTAGGTATATGTACATACGCCTTGCATCCAAACGTGCGAATGTGCCTTATATCAGGTCTTCTTTTACTCCACAATTCGTATGGGGTTTTGTATCACGTAATGTAGTAGGAAGCCTATTTTGTAAATATGTTGCTGCAATAATAGCTTCACCCCAATACTTGTTATCCATTTTGGCATCTAATAGCATACATTTCGCCATTTCGACAAGAGATCTATTTTTGCGTTCGGCTGTACCATTTTGTTGGGGGGAATATCCTGCAGTGGTCTCGTGTCTAATCCCTGCTTTTTTCAAAAAAATTTCTGTTAGTTTGTTCAAATATTCACCACCTCTGTCTGTACGTAGAGTTTGAACTCTTCTTCCAAATTTATTTTCCACCATAGCAATATATTCTTCTAGTTTATCGTGTACTTCACTTTTCTGTGCAAGCAGATATGTTACTGTATATCGACTGAAGTCATCTATAAATGTCAAAAAATACTTCTTTCCACCTGGAGTTGTTGTTCTCATAGGACCGCATACGTCACTATGCACTAATTGCAATGGTTTATTTGTATGTGAATATGTTACCTTTGGAAAGGGTATTCTCGTCATTTTTCCTTGTATACAGCATTCACACATGTATTTCTTCTTACAATTGGATATACGCATCCCTGTGACCATATGATTATTCTCTTGAAGATTATTCTCTATATGATCATTATCTTGCAATTTATTAACAGCTCTGTGATCTCTATGACCGAAACGTCGATGCCAAATATGTATGCAATTCTCGTGTTTATCAACGTTAGTTATATTAGCTTTTTCTTCTGTTCCAGTTTCCGTACATTGAAGCTTATACATTTGTCTTTCGGATTTAGCCACAGCAACTACTTCTTCTTTTAAATATATCGTACAAGTATCATCAATAAATTTAGTGACGAATCCTGCTTGTGCTAATTTATGAACTGATAATAGACTACCTTGTAAATCAGGTACGAAGAGAACATTCTTTACGAGCATTCTTTTTTAAACTCTTGGAGAAACTTGACAATTTAAATGTCCATGACCAATTCCTTTAGCCGACATATATTTGCCATTAGCAAGATAAATTTTCTCACCTGCCATTTCAGTATTTAATTTTTTGAAGAATTCCTTTATGTTAGTCATGTGACTGGTAGCTCCTGAATCGACAAACCATCCTGATTTATTTAATGCGGATTCGAGCTTGAAACATTTCATTTTATTTGAATCGTCTTCAATATCTTCAGACTTCTCCTGTATCGCTGTCCTGCTATTATGTCGAGGTTTACCTGTTATTGCCTTCCATTTGTAACAGTTCTTCTTTAAATGTCCAATTTTCTTGCAATGATAGCAGTGTCTCGTATCTGTCTTGTGCTTGTCTTTATTTTCCTTTGTTTGCAGCGCGCTTTCGGTAAGTAAGTTACTCTCTACAGTATTTTCATTTCGTCGATTATATTCATCGATGAGTTTACCTTTTACGTATTCCAGCGTTAATTCTGCTTCTGGTTGTGCTTCTAAGGCTGTAATAAGTGACCCATACGATTCTGGTAAACTGCATAATAATAACGCAGCTACATTATTATCTTTTAATTCTTCGCCTAAACCTCGAAGCTGTTCTACTAATTTCAACATAATATTAATATGTTCTTGCATAGTTTGCGTTTTACCAAGTCGCAATCCGTACATCTTAATAGGTACAATTTACTGTTCAAATTTGACCTTTCATGTATGCGTTGTAAAGCGAGCCACATACCACGCGCCGTTTGTTGTGTGCGTATATGTATTAATTGGTTATCTTTGCACAAGAGTCCAATAACTGCTTTGGTTAGACGATCCTTCTTTTCCCAATCTGCTGGTACTGGTTCCGGTTTTTCTTTGTCTACTATATCCCATAAATCATCCTTGGTTAGAAGCATTTCCACCTTGAACTTCCATAGCTGATAATTTTTGTCATTCAGCTTCGCGATCACCGATTTCACATCCATCGTGGAAATCATTTTTATTTGCACAACTTGCAACGTATTATGCTCAATCTGCGACGTGTTATATTTATATTACTGCCCACAATGTGCCTGGGCCCATAACATATTAAATAATTATTCACAGGATATAATCAGTATAAGAGCTTTATTGAGACTCACATATATAATAGTAAGGAAGCATTAATGCAGTGAAAGAATAGGGAAAAATAAAATGTTGCCAACTTAACCAAATCTGATTTTAACGCCATCTGAATATAAAAGTAACTGAAATAACTCTATACATTTGAATTGAGCGGTAAATATAAAATGACGTTGTGAGACTAATAATCTAACAACCAGAACAAGGACGACGCCGTACCATCCATCTTCGAATGGCATGATCGAGCGTTTCCACCGCTCATTAAAGGCAGCTATCCGTTCGCACGCAGACGTGAACTGAGTAAAAATCCTGCCGACAGTACTTCTTGGCTTACGAGCCAGTTTCAAGGAAGACATCAAAACTAGTGCAGCCGAATTGGTCTATGGAACTCCACTCCGGTTACCCGCAGAATTCTTCACAGACGAAGACCCATCGCCAGATCCGCAAATTTTCCTAGAACACCTGCAACAACACATGCGCAAAGTGCGCGCCAGCCCATCAGCACATCACATCAAGTCTAAAGCTTTCGCTCTCAAAGACTTGCACTCGTGCTCACACGTCTTCGTCCGGGTGGATGCAATCAAGAAGCCATTAAACCAGCCGTACGAAGGACCGTACGAAGTCATCGAACGTATCTCAGATTACGTTTTCAAAATCAACATCAAAGGAGAACCATCAACCATCTCTACGGAACGTTTGAAACCAGCGTACTACGAAGTACTACCGACGGAGCCTGACGCGCTCCACACGCAGTCACCTGCAGTACCGACTATCTCATCAACTTTAAAAACTTATTCCGGTCCAAAACCAAAGAAGACTGTTCGCTTTAGTACGTAAAACACTAAGCAGGGGGGTAGTATAGAGACTCTCTCCTACAGCGCTCTTGTCCAAAGTCTTAGCCAATGAGAACGCACGGACTCACTCCCGTAAAAGAGTCAGTTTTCGATCTCAGTAATTTTCTAAGTTTAAGTTTAAGTTCTCAGTCTTATTCCGTTAAGCAACATGTTGCAACAAGTTCCTTTCTTACGTAATCAAT